CAATTTAACTATCTATATGGATCAAATTGACAACAGCAACTCGAAAGGTTAGATAGGAACCATAAGGGGTGGTGAGTTTATATTAATGGGGGAGGAAGAATTCGGCAAAGGAGGGTGAGAAGGGTTGCATAACTTGAAGAATGCAATCAGTGTCTCTGAACTGTACATGTAGAGACTGTTGAATTGATGTACGTTTTGCTTAAGTCTCTCTCGGACAGCAAGGGCTGGTAATCCAGCTGGAGAGACAAGACAATGAAAAGACATGACAAAGAAGCTGAGTGAGAGAAGGCAATGATAGGGGTATGACAACAGATAGGACATGATGGATCGCTGGCCAAGGCCAGCTAAGTGCAGGGGACTCGTAGGGAGCATGGGAGAAGACAAAAACCCCGGCTGGGTGGCACGGACAGTGCACAGATGTGGACTGAAGCAACTGAAGAGTCAGGCCTGAGATCCTGATTTGGATAAAGGGAAGAGAACGTTCTGGATGCGACCAACAGGGAGAGCAAAGGCCCTTGTTTCCGTGTCTCTATTGCCTGCAGTAGAGGTGCCCTCTCCTTCCAGCTGCTTGCTGTGCCGTTCTTCTTCACAGTCTCTGGACACGGAAGGAGGCTGCCCAGCAGGAACCTCAAAGTCAAGGGCATTCGGGGAGACAGAAGTCACCTGTGAGTTCCTAGGGAGGCCTGGTGATCTACTTCTGAAAATCAGCCAGTGGAAAGCCTGTGGCTCACAACAGTCTGATTTACAACCAACCAACCATGGGGATGGCACAGGGCCGGGCAGTGTTTTGTTCCATTGTGTATGGGGTTGCCAACTCAACGGCAGCTGCTAACAGGCACAACAACCCTCAGAGGACTGGAGAGCAGCTGGGGATCCTGGGTCTGGGGCGGGCTGGATGCTGGACACCTTCTCAGACTCCGAGTCTTTCTGGCCAGTGAGGCTGTGCTGTGAGCAGTGGCCTTTATGGAGGTGCTCAGGGGTAGGACATACCCCCTTCTTTTTGCAACTGCAACTGCTTTTCCTATTCCTTGGCTAAGATCAGGAAGCATCAGACCAGCTCCTGGTTAGGTAAAGGCTGATGAATGCTTGACAAAGGGCCGTCAGCTCCGCCCAACTTGTCAGAGAAGAGTCAAAGCCCCAACAGGTTACAAGAAAAAGCTGGAACACCAAACAGTAAGTGACTTCCCGCACTGGAAACCCAGGACTGGCATCCTCAAACGCACCTGGGCTCTGAGACAGACCAAGCAGCCTAGGAAGAAGGCATGTGCTGCTTCTTTGGCGCAACCATCTCTTCCCAGAGCAGGAAGGATCCCAGAGACCACACAGAACAAGGGATTCAAGTTTGCGGACACAGGAGCAGGACAGGCTGAGCTGTTCCAGGGCTGGGTACTGCAGAGGCGTCTCTGGGGCCTTATGGACATCCGTGTGAACAAAAGGCAGGACTTGGCTGTCTCCAGAACAGGGAGGACAGTGAGACTACAGAGTTAGGGCAACGGTGATCAGACCCCTGCTGCTCAAGTTTCTCGCGCGCTTAGCACAGGCCTGACAGAGGGCCCAGAATGAAACGGGGAACCATGCTCTAAGGGTGTGTCTCCTGCCCCAGCTCCACCAGGCCACATCTCTGTGTGCCCAGCACTGGCCTACCTCATAGGAGGCATGCAATAACTATCTGTAAAACGAACAAGTGAAAGAATGAGTTTATGAACAAGAGAATGACTGAAGGACCACATGACCCAGCAATTCCACTCCTAGGTATATAACTCAAAAGACTTGACAGTGGGGACTCAAACAGATAATTGTACGTCAGTGTTCACTGCAGCATCATTCACAGTAGCCGAAAGGTGGAAACAACAGTGTCGATCAACTGCTGAATGGATAAACACAATGTAGCATTATTCAGCCGTAAGGAGAAACGAAGTACTGATACTTGTGACCTGAATGAACCTTGAAAACATTATGCTCAGTGAAGTCAGCCAGCCACAGAAGGACCAGTACTGAGTGACCCGGCTTATGGGAAATATCTGCAGCAGGCAAATACACAGAGACGCAGGTGGATGAGTGCTTACGAGGTACAGGGAGAGGAGGGGAGCGGAGTTATTGCCCAGCAGGTATGGAGGTCCTCTTTGGGGTGATGAAATCATTCTGGAAACAGACAGTGGTGATGGTTGTGCAACGCTGTGAGTATGATTGATGGCACTGAATTGTACACTTAAAAAGGCTTAAAATGGCAAACTTCTTGTTATACATATTTTACCATGATGAAAAAAAGAAAGAATGAAGGAAGGAACCCCAGCTGGTAGAGCTTCACCGGCCTAGAGGAGCTTGCCTGACTCACGTGACCTGGCCGGAGCTTGGCTGGGAAAGCGCCCCAGGGAGAAGGAAGCTGGTTAAAATGCCGAGGAAGCCCAGCAGAGGTGCCGGCATCTGTTCCCAGCACCTCCACCCTCAGGCTGTCACTCTCTCGTGTGATGGCGTTTAGGTGCTTACTTGGGTGTAAAGCCATCAGGCTGGGAACTCGTCACATTGCGGAAAGCCGCCTCTCAGAGGCAAAGTTGTTTTTTAAACTAGTCTCCAGCCTCCTTCCTGGTGTCACCGCCAGGGGGCCTTCAGGTACCCTCAGATCAGGACACCAGCCGCGCTCCCTGGGGTCTGTGCCTCCTCCCAGAGCTGGCTTTCACAGGCCAATTTACACAGTCTCCTCCTTCCCCCAGTTGAAGAGAGGGAATAACACGTTCCAGGTCGGGTGCTGCCATTTTGAAATGATGCAAAAAATTGGAGATAATGAAAAACACCTGAGCTCAGATCCTGGCCACTTCGGTTCCCTCATCCAGACGGTCTTCGTAGGAAAAAAAAAGTGATCAAGAAAGGGTTTTCTATGAGGAACAGCTGCTCCACAGAACAGACATCACCCCTACTCACCACACCCAGCCCCCCATCACCACCACCACCAGGGGACGGCTCTCACTTACAGGAATAATCACAAACAAAACAGAAGAAGGAGGGGGGGGCGACGTAAGCAGCCCTGCTGGCGCAGTGGTTAAAGCAGTCAGCTGCTAACCAAAAGGTCGGTAGTTCGAACCTACCAGTGCTTCGCAGGACAAAAGATCTAGCAATGCGGTTCTGTAAAGATGTACAGCCTTGGAAACCCTACGTGGTAGTTCTACCCTGTTCTATAGGATCACTATGAGTTGGAATTGACTCGACGGCAATGGGCTTGGTTTTATTTTGGGAGATGTGAAGGTATTTTTTCCAATTCCCTCGTGGCTCTCACTATTGTGAGGCTAAAATATGTATCTGAGAACAAAGGAAGAAACTCAAGGGTTTTCAAGGGAGCTACTCTGACATTATCTAACTGCCCACAGAAACTAACAATCTAAGACAAGAGGGAATCAGAGACAGGTTTGAACCCTTCCTACCGTGAGATCTTAGGCACTGAGCGCCGCAGGAAGGTAAGGATGGTTAGCAGACACCCTTGCTGTGCCGACGGGAAAGTTTAGGAAGGCTGAACGACCTCACCAGTATCACTGAGTTGCTCTTGTTGTTGTTAGCTGCTCTGGGGTCGCCCCCAACTCACGGCAACCCCATGCACAACAGAATGCTGCCTGGTCCTGTGCCATCCCCGTGACTGGCTGCAGATAAGACCATTGTGATTCACAGGGTTATCATTAGCTGATTTGAGAAGGAGTTCGCCAGGCCTTTTTTCCTATTCTTAGTCTGGAAGGTCCACTGAAACCTGTTCAGCAGCATAGCCACACGCAAGCCTCCACTGACAGACAGGCAGCAGCTGTGCATGAGCTACATTACACTGGCCAGGAATCAAATCTGGGTCTCGGGAGCCACGTGGAAGGCAAGAATTCTGCCACTGAACTACCACGGTCCCCGGTCACTGAATCAGTCAAGCGTTACAGCTTAGACTGGAATTCAGGTCTACTGACTCTGGAAACTTCTAGAACAACCATTGAGGTCCCAGTGGGGAACAAAGACATGGGGGAAAAAAAAAAGCAAACAATCAAAACCAAGTTAAAAAATGACAACAACAAAACAAAGCAGGATTGAAGCTATGCTCTTCAAAAAGCACTAATCGGCACATCCTGGTAAGGTTTCCAATCATTCTACGGCCCCTAACAGTCCTGCATTTAATCTCCTGCTGCTGTCAGCTTTCCTGATACAAAGTCGTGCCAAATAACGCTAAGAAAACATGCCTGCGCCACCACAGAATCATAAAATACCCCACGGATTCAGAAGAAATGAACGTGGGATTGCTAATCTAAGATTCCTCGCCTGCCACTGCAACGTCTCCGCCCCCCAGCATTCAGTCACCAGGTACTCAACTGAATTGCCACAGAGGCCTTGGAGCAGAAATCGTGGTGGATTACCCACTTCCCTGGCACGAGGGACAGTGACACCATCCAAAACTCAGATTCATATTTTAATATATTTTCCAAAACAATGAAAAAAAAAAAAACCAAACTTTACTGCCAGTGCTCCCCGGTTCATCCTAAAGCGAAGCCCTGCTACATGGGACGCGCCGAACATGTTACAAATCAACCTAATTAGCACTGATGCCAGACACACAGTAAGCTCTCAGTAACTGCTGAATGATAGTTGAGCATTATTTTCTTCTTTATACTTTTCCTTGTTTTCTGATTTTTTTTTACAATGAGCATATATTACTTTTATAATCTTAAAGACGTAGAAGTACTTTAAAACGTCTTAAGGGTGACAGTGGAACAACATGATGATTGACATTAATGGCACTGAACTATACGCGGGAAAGATGCCGACACGGCAAATGTGGTTACATATTATTTACCACAATCAACAGTTAAAACGAAAAACCAGAACCGATTTGAGCCAGAGGGTCTACCCATCCATGGAGCCTTAAGTCTGAGCAAGTCCCCACTGAAAAGTCTGTCTGAGAAGACAGCAGACATCTTGGTGGGGAATGCACAGAAAGATGAGCCTGTTCCATGAAACAGCAGAACCTCCATCGTGCTCAGCTCCACCTCTGATGATGTAAGGACAGCACCCGCTCGAAGCTCAGTAGAGGTGGCATGGTGTCAGACATATCCTTCCCACGGCAACGACACCTTTAACCGCACCTGGACGCAGCTTTCGCCCCGCTCTTACCTTGCCGCTGCTGCCAGGAGGTTTTTCGCATTGGGGGCACCCGGATCTACGGAGAGAGACTTGGCGGCTAACAACAGCTTGCTGGATGCCATAGAGATATTCTTGAGGTTCCCTATCACTTGGATCTGGTCTTCTTTGGTCTGGAAGGTCAAAAGGAGCAGAGAAATTAGAACCGTCCATCTCTCCTAGGAGTGTTCAGAGAGCTAGGAGCAACATCCTCAAATGGAACAAGTTATCTGCAGAGATCACATGAAGCCCAGTTAGTCTGCAGGTGCTGGACTCCTGACTGTGTCTACCTGTCCCCAGCCAAATGCCCAGATGGAGATGCATGCAGCAAGGGCAGGAATCCAGTCTCCAGAGGGTCAGCCAAGAGCTAGGCTTTCTCACTAGTGGAGACATTGAAAGAGGAGAGAGAGCGAGTGTGTGTGAGCACACAGACCAGCAGCAATCCCTGTGTTCTGCTTAACAATGCCGGAGTTGTCAGGCAGCTTGTGCATCTCAGCCTGGCACAAGCGGCCGGCACCGCCTCAACGTCCAGAGCTGATGGCGTCCCAGAAGTTCCTGAATTGGGAGCGGACACATCTCTCACCTGGTTTGCCATCTGCGAAACAGCCCTTCGTAGATAACAGAACAAGAAACACTCTGAATATCTCCTTTAGCGAGTTCACAGGAGCTCAGAGAAAACAAAACACACAGCTCTGCAAGCTGACAAGAGACTGGTCACGCGCCCTTGTTCTAAGCAAGGGGTTTATCTGTTCATCGGGAGGAGGTCACTTTTAATCATTTGACACTCAGTTTTAGACAGTTCCTTAAATGGGCCGCTTAATCTCAAATACATGATCTTTTACTGTATTACACCACATTTTAAGAGCTGTCTGAATCTCTGCTAACAGTCTCCTCCTCCTACAACCCTTCCTCCCAGAGACGTACATGTAACGATGGACTTTGCTGGAGGATGGTGGGAAGAGTGATCCTTCATCACACGACGCACCTCACACATGAGCGATAGCATCTCTGCCACCCTGCGAGGTCATGGAGCTTCCTGAGCGGCCAAGCAAAGGCAGCCAGCTGTGACCTGCTAACAGGTTCCCTATCCCTATTCACCCAGCCAGCCTCCAAGGTGGACAGCCCATCAGGGCAGACAGGTCAACACCACACAGCCACCTCCACACCCACCTGAGCCTGGCCAGCCATCTCAATGCCAGCATCCAGGAATTCGTCGAAATCATCACTGAACTTTCCGGAGGCCGCAGCCAGCTCTCCGCTCTGGCCCCGAGTGGCATGGACCACTTCCCCGGCAGACTGGTTCAGATCAGCTGCCGCCTGGTTTAGTTCACTCTGGGCTTCCTGGAAAGGCTTCGTGCTTGGAGGTAGCTATGGGGAACAGAAAGCACACCCCATGAGAAGTTTAACTTTGTACCAGAGGAATAAAGGAGAGTACCGAGGAGGGAAGACAACCCTCCCCTACCCCCCAGGGATTCATCTGAGTATCAAGACTAGAACAGTCCTCCCCTGAAACTAGCACCCAGATGCTTTGCTGACCCAGATCTGAAACCACTCCCAGAGTCCACTTTTCAGACAGAGATCAGACAGGCCTATAAAACAAAGGAAACCCTGGTGGTATAGTGGTTTAAGTACCACAGCTGCTAACCAAAAGTCTGGCAGTTCAAATCCACCAGGTGCTCCCTGGAAACTCTATGGGGAAGTTCTACTCTGTCCTATAGGGTTGCTATGAGTTGGAATCAACTCGATGGCAATGAGTTTTTTTTTTCATAAAACAAAAAATAACACGTGAGGAACGTGCTTCTTAGTTCAATCAAATATACGAGACCAGATGGGCAGCTCCTGTCCAAAAGTAGGATAAGGCAGGAAGGGACAGGAACTGGAAGAATGGACACAGGGAACCCGGGGTGGCAAGGGGGAGAGTGCTGTCACATTGTGGGGACTGCAACCAATGTCACAAAACAATATGCGCATAAATTTTTGAATGAGAAATCAACTTGAGCTGTAAACTTTCACCTAAATCACCCCCACAAAAAAAGACTAAATGGTTCTGTATGGTCCGAGCCCACGCTAAGTTTGAAAAGGAAAAGGCAAATTGGCCGGTACAATAGAATTCCTGGAGCAAAGGTTAGCTGCTCAGGCATCCCAGAGGGGAGAAGACTGCAAAAAACAAACCAACAAAAGCCAGTTGCTGTTGAGTCAATGCCGACACATGGCGACACCCTGCATCAGAGGAGAACTGCTCCATAAGGTTTTCAAAGACTGCGACGTTTCAGAAGCAGATCTCCAGGCCTGTCTTCGGAGGCATCTCCCAGTGGGTTTGAACTGCCAGCCTTCAGGTAGTAGCTGAGTCCTTAACCATCTGTGCCACGCAGGGTCCTCACTCACATCTCGAGTGAAGCCCGTCACCCAAGCCTAGACCCTCTCACCGAGTCCACGAGCAGCTTCTTGCTGGACTCGCCAATGCTCTTCAAGGCCACATCCACGTCCTTCTGCCCAGGGAGGCAATTCACGCAGTTATTCAAAGAGTGTGAGACTGCTTTGGCCACCTGAAAACATGGGGGAGAGAAGCCCCTAAGAATGCAGTCCCTTGACTTCCCTTGCAAACACTTTCACACATCTGTTGGGAACGAGCGGTGATAGCGTGCAGAGTGGAAACAGAATGGGGATTCTGGCCCCATGTCCCGGGAGCTGCATCCCTAACAGGTGTAAGAGAGGGAAATTACCCGCCAGCATCTGACACCGTTTACTACATTAATTCACCTTGTGTCCAGGCCTCTGGGCCAAGAGCGAAGCTACATCCTCTCACGGGGGTTCACATCAGGTCTCGGCAAAGGGTCTGATAGTGACACAACACACCCCACAGGCCCCCAAAAGCCAGATGACGTCCCGGCTCTGTGACTCCGACATGGACCTCTCCAAACTCGGGTCAGGTGCTAAAACAATACCTAATGCCAGGAGAAATGGAAGGTTCTCCCTTCTTGAGAGCTCCGCTGAGGTCACCGAGGGGGAGTGGGCCTTGAGATCACAGTTAGCGAGCCCGGTGGGTGACTTCTCAGCAGCTGTCTGGTATGATCATTCCCAAAGGTCACCCCGCCCGAGTGCTCAGAGCACGTCCCAGACAACCTGGAACTGTCCAGGTGCTGCCTGCTAAGGATTCTTAAGAGGCGTCCGTTTGTATTCTTGGGTATCCTAAGTTAAAAGGTAAGGTGTTTGGAAGCAGGGGGTGTCACTTCCCTTAATCTAAACCATCTCCTTCCCAGCCCCAAGTCCAGAATTCCACCCGGATAGTGTGTAGCCAACTGGTTTCATTAAGAAGCTGGAGAATCATCTGAGGAGGTAACTGAGAGTCAGAGTTTGAAAACTGGAACGGCCACACATAGTACGTCTACGTCACCTCACACGCTAGGAGGAGGAATGCAGTTAAGCATACACAGGCCCAAAACAAACACGCATGCCCTGGCTTGTAAACTGCCAAGGACAGACTTCAACAAAGCCCCCAGCCCCGCCATTCTCTCTGCTGACTGTGAGTCAAGCAGATCTCACCTGAAAGCAGACGACTACCAGGCAAGTATTTAACGGGGGATGGTCCATGCCCAGTACTGTCAGAGCACTTTGGAAGGTTTGGAAAACACCCATTGAGTCTAAGTGTTCACATTCAGAAAAAAAGTGCACCAAAGGCAGCCCACCACCGTGTCCACACGGACGAAGACCACCATCCCCAAGGCTGGGCCTCACCTGAGCTAGCCTCTGTTGACTCTCGGCATCCCCCGGTGCAATCAGGGCCTGTTTGGCTTCTTGAATGAGCATGGCTGAGCCCTCCATCACGTCTCGAGCCGAATCTAACATGGCGTGCGCAGCTGAGGGGTCACTGGTAGATGCGGCCACTCCACGGGCAGCTTGGGCCAGTATTTTCAGAGCTTGGGCCGTCTCTCTAGCAGCCACTCCTAGGGACAAAAGCCCACCAGACCTTTCATTAGATTCCGCTGAAAAGTCACACTCTGCTTTGGGAGTAAGTGTCCAGACCAGGGCTCTCTTGAAACGAGAGGATCCTATGACAGTACCTGGCCATGGTGGGCTCCAAATCACTTTTTATAAAATTTGAGTTACTGTGTTTCTCAACGTAGGCCACACTACTGACCCTTGGCCAATCCAGGGAGATGTTCATAACAATCACAATGCTAAAAACAACTCCTCTCTGGCACCCCTCGCTTCCTCTGCCCCACAGGGCCCTAGAGCTAAAGTTCCAAGTACATGGGCGAAGGACACAATGAACATAGGTTTGGGGGGGGTTATTGAAGTTCACTTTCTTCCCCGATTGCTTTTTCTGGGGCATAACTCACATACATTAAAATTCACAAATCTATATGTACAGCTCAGTTACTATTTGACATATGTGTGCATCCACATAACCACCATCCAGGTCGAGATTTAGAATATTTCCATCACCTTGTGCCCTACCTCAGTAACCATTATTCTAACATCTACCGCCTTAGACTAGTTTTACCTATTCGTAAACTTCATGTTAATGGAACCACACAGCTATGTATTCTCTGTGTGCCTGTGCGTGTGTGTGCGTGTGTCCACTTTCTTTCTCTGATCATAATGCTGTGAGATTCACCCAAGTTGTTATGTGCAGCAGTTCATTCTTTGTTTCTTGCTTTGTAGTATCCCATTATATGAATACATCAGAATTTATTTTTCCATTCTTCTGTTGATGGACATTCAGGTTGTTTCCAGATTGGAGTTATTATGAATGAAGCTACCAAAGTTTTTCTGTATGCATTTTGATGGACAAGTGGACTCATTTCTCTTGGTTATAAACCTAGGAGTTGAATTGTTGGGTCACAAAGTAGGAATATATTTAGCTTTAGGAGACAGTACAATCCGGTTTGTCAAGATGGTTTCACCATTTTACACTTCACCACCAAGTTAGCAGAGTTCCAGTTGTTCTACATCCTAGTCATTGCTTGGTATTATCAGTTTTTTAATTGAAATTTAACCATTCTGATGAGTGTGTAGTTGCATCTCACTGAGGTATTAATTTGTATTTCCCAAATGAGTAATGATATTGAGCTCCTTTTAATATGCTTATCGGCTATCTGGATGTCCTCTTTCGTGAACTGCTTTTAAATTTCCTTCAAAACACATAATGGAACTTGAGGGAAAACTATGAACAGAAACGAATCCTTTAAATCGACAGCACCACCTCTTGCAGAATAAACATGAGCCTTACAACACGGCACCTAGTCCTCAGCACACCCAAGAACAAGGTGAAGGTTGGCCACGCTGGGGCACACGACAGAACAATCCAAGAACCACAGCAGAGCCAACCTTGGGGCTCATCTCGCTGAGCCACTTCACAGGTGTTTCTCCAGCACTGAGAAGTGTCTTCTCCACAAGCACACTTCTACAAGCAATGCCAGAGCTAGACCTGAGGTTTTCTCCAGGTTAGAATCTCTGCTCAGCGCTCTTTGGGACAGAGAGCTACAAGGGCTTCTCGTTAGAACATAGAACATCTGTATGAAAAACGCACCAATCAATCTCTCCCACACACCAAACCTGAAAACAACCATTTTCTAAAGGATTTAGCCAGACGGTCTCTAGGCGCCCACTGAGTGTGGCCTTTACCAGCAGGCGCTGGAGCTGAGTCGGCACAGATGCAGTAGGTGGTCTGCTTGTTACAGAAGGTGAGGCTCCGTAATACAATCAAGACTGTCAGAGGCCCCAGATCCATAAAACAAGACAGCTTTGCAGTGCCACAGACTTGCTAATCTGTAAATATTTAGCAAGTCACACAGCTGGGACATTACAGTCTAATCAAGGCAAATTACAAAGCTGCCAAACTATCATTTAACACATGGCACTTCCGAGGGCAGCTTACAGAAAGAAAAGATTTTAAAGAGAGAGAGTGTGTGTGTGTTTATGACAGGAGAAATCCAGAAGAGAAAACCCAAAAGTAAATAAAGTTAAGACGAAGGAGAGGTGCAGGGGGAGCAGAACAGTCATTCCATTTTATGTTTCAGCTTTTGCACAGGGTTGGAAGATTTGTTCCTCGGACGAGCACCAGATGTGGTGAAGACATCATCCAGGCTCTGACTCTGCAGATGATGAGCCTGGACTACTGCCTCTCTCTGAGTCTCAGTTCCCACAAGTTTTAGGAGAAGCTAAGATCCCGGCTGTGACCACTGAAGATTCCGGGCTGTGATTTCTAGATCTTTCCTCTTGCCTTTCCACTTAGAGAACCTTGAATCCATTTCGAGTTGTATCCGAATTTGGGAGAATAAAACATTAATTATTTGTAATTAGAATAGAGGTGTTTATGCAAAAATCATTTAGTGAAAAATCTTTTACAGACTCTGACAATTAGAAAAGGACAGAAACCAGATGAGCGACATTCCAAACGCCGAAGGCCGTGCACGTGCTTCCTGTTGAAGACTCACTGTGAAATCTCAAGGCACTTCAGGGATCCCCTCTGGAGTGATCACGTGTCCGAAAAGAAGACCCTACACCATTAAGAGGATGAAACAAGGCCACTAGGGGCCAACAGAGAGCCCAGTGACCAGCCAAGGCTGAAAATGGCTGAATTCACAACAACGTCCTCAGTGGTAACCACTGCCACGTCAAGTCTCCTAGCAAACCAAACCTTTGCCACTGAGTCGATTCTCACTCATAGCGACCCTACAGGACAGAGTAGAACTTCCCCATAGGGTTTCCAAGGCTGTAATCTTTATATAAGCAGACTGCCACGTCTTTCTTCCATGAGTTCAAACCGCTGACCTCTTGGTTTGCAGCTGAGTGCTTTAACCACTGTGCCAGCAGGGCTCCTTTCCTAGCAAACACCACCCTTCCCATGAAAGCACTCCTGCAGTCAAGTGTGCAAGGCAATGCCCAGGGCTGCCTGTGGGGAAACACTAAAGCAGACTTTGGCTTCAATAACCACAATCCTTTGAAGATAACAGATTCCTTTCACAGTCTTCTTGCCATCTGCCTCTGATATTCAGTAACAGAGTCTTAAGAAGAAACGTGAGTGATATGAAATACAGCAGAATTCCCTGTCACTGGTGTTCTTCATCAGAATTCGTGTAGACTGTATGTCAAAACAGCACTGGGCCACACAGCAAGCTCACAAAATAAAAACCACGTATGGCAGAGTTTTAATCTGTCTCAGAGTATCTGAAAAGGGTTCTGTCTCTGTAACTGTACTCGGCTATGTAGAAATATATTTTGAATACCGCACTGGCCAGACAAAAAGATGATCTCCAACAGAGCGCAGCCCAGTGGCAGCTAATGGGTAACTTCTGGATACCCTACACATCTCAGTTTGTGGACAAGGGAATTGAGACCCAGGGGGAAGTTGTCTACGTTTGCTTTCTCTTTCCTTGCTTCCCACTCATTCTTCAGCTTTCCTGAAATTGCCTCACCAAGGAGAGCAGTGACCTCCTTATTCCTAAAACCAACAGATGCTTCTTAAGCCCCCACCTCACGTGACTTTCTGGGCAGCAACTGCCTCTAAGGTAACAGTCTCTGGCTCTGGAGACAGTCCACTCTCCTGGTGATCTTGCTCTCTCCATGCTGGATGTTCTCATTTCTTCCAGAGGTTTCTATTGCTCAGCCTTCTCCTTAAATAGTTGGGTTCCTCGGTTATATCTGATAAACATTTTTTCCCTCTGTCACTCTTCCTAGGCAAACTTACTTACCTCCATGGTTTCAATCATTATCATTTAACTAATAATTTCCCGATCTATATCACCAGCCCAGCCTTCTCTCCTGAGTTCCAGAGCCAGATGTCTAGCTGCCTAATGGGCTGCTGTATTTGAACATCCTGAAGTCACATCAAACTGAATACACGGAAAGCTGAACTTGGCATCTCTGAACTCCACCCTGGCACATACCTGCCAATGGCCCTGTGCTCCCCATCTTGGTGACTCATGCAACTCTTCATTCAGTTATCAGGCCAGACACTTAGAGTCCCTGTTACCTTCCTTACCCCCATCCCTGCCATTTTCTCACCAGCCACCAAGAACTATCAAGTCTCTATTTCGTTAATCCATCCCTTTCTCTCCCCTGCAGGCCACTACCATCCCTTATTTGGATTAATACGATGGCCTCCCTGCTGGTCTCCATGCCTTCATCTTTGTTTCCCTCCGGTTCATTCTGAACGCGGAGGTAGAACAATCTACACAGAACGCCATCTGAACTGTATCCATAGTGGAAAACTCTCCAATAGTTTCAGATGTCCTCAGGTTAAATTCCAAATTATTTCAATTGGCCTAAGAGGCCTGTTAGGATCTGATCTGGCCTTATCTTCTTATTCCTCGGCTTCTTGCCTTTTACTTGAACTTTTCTCAGTCCCTTCAGGCAGTCTTCTTTCTCTCACCTCTGCGACTTCATAGGTGCTCTGCCCACTTCCACGACCACCTTTTCAATGCCCCACAAATGAACCCGCTGCTTCTAGGACATTTTTTTCCCCAAACACTAACTAGACCTCCTGTGATCCTGGATGTTACCAGTTATCGGATGATGCAACCAGTAAACCAGTCTTCCCTCCACTAAAGACGCATTTCATAATCTACAATATCTGGCAAGATTTCATGAATGTGCGGAAATGTTAGAAACGTCAATCTCTCATACTCCCTATGCTTTGTAAGCATTTACACATACGTCGTCTTCCCCTAGAATGTTAAAGGAGTCCTAAACAATCCTCAAAGCCCTGAGCAGGTGTCAATTCTGTCCTAACACTTTCCCTTACCCTCCCACTACGGTGGAGTTGTACATTCCTATTATTGCAGGCACTAGACCATAACAAGGAGTCACTGGGTGGCGTGAAGGGTTAAGCACTTGACTACTAGCCGAAAGGTGGGCAGTTTGAACCCACTCCAAAGCACCTTGGTAGACAGGGCTGGCATTCTGCTTCTGAAAACCCTGTAGAGTAGGTCTACTCTGCGCGCCTGGGGTCACAGGAGTCAGCATCTACTCGACAGCAACTAACAACAACAATGACGTACCAAGAGCAACCACCCTTAACCCACTCCTCCCCACCCGCGTCCCCTATTCCTGGCATCTCTCAGTCCTTCGAGCTTTCTTCCGATACTTCGTATTTCTGAGTAACGTGCTTGGAAACCCTGGTGGTGTAGTGGTTAAGAGCTACGGCTGCTAACCAAAAGATCGGCAGTTTGAATCCAGCAGGCGCTCCTTGGAAACCCTGTAGGGCAGTTCTACTGTGTCCTATAGGGTCACTACGAGTCGGAATCAACTCGATGGCAACGGGTTTTGGAGTACTGCGCTTATACAGAAACATCTTGATTTTTCAATTTTAGATGTGCATACACCTCCTACTATGCCTACTTCCCACTGCGGTTAACAGTGCCTTTCTTATGTAAATTTCTGCTTTGCTGGAGTCACTAACACAGTCTGTTCTTATACAGACTCTGGTTGAAGGACACCTGCCTTCTGGGTACTTGGCGCCTCCAATACCAGAACCCTGCCAGGGTTCTGCAGCATAAATCGTTTACTTCTTGTTGGCTCACCCACCCCTCGGGAACCTCGTGTCTTTCCTTCTTTGGCTTTAGCAGTCACCACGCGTCTGTCTCTTTCCATCTTTGACAATTTCGTGGGCATCTTACTTGTTGTCACCACCTCTCCTGTTCTCTTTGAGCTTTTTTATTCAATTTCACAGGATTTCAGGGTCACAGATTGTCCCCGGAGGCCATACTACTGTTTATACTCTAATACAAGTGACCCATAAATAGTTTGGAGGAATATTTTTTGAGTCTTTGTATGCTTAGTATCCAGCCCAGAACAAAATGCTTGGAAAATACGTTGAACACTAAAAAAAATTAAAAACAAAAAACAAAAAACTCACGTTTATTATAAAAAAAAATGAAACCACCACTCCCCCCATGCCGCCCCCACCCCCCACCCCCCATGGTCTGCACCTGACCACAAGGCAGCCTGAAGGGCAGCGGGAGCCTCACCTGTGTAGTGCTCATTGCCTTGAGCAGCACAGGTGAGCAGCTGTGCCATGGAGGAGCCCACCGCTTTAGACGTACTTCCCAGGTCCTGAGCACATTTCTCCAGCTATAAGAATATTCAAGGGGAAGAGAGCTTAGAAGAAAAGGAACATCCACTGAGGTCTTAGCATGCATTAGAAAAACAACGCAGATCAAATTTGGGGCCTTAGCTGTTTCCCCACACAATACGTGGATGGCACTAAGAAGCAGCAAGGTGATACAGAGGAAAGAGCCCAAGCTTTAGAATGACAAACCTCCGTTATTTCTGGGGCCAACCCCTTTCTCCCCTCCTAATTACTAGCTGGGTGAGATGGGTAAGTTACTGAAACTCTCCAAGCCTTGGTTTCCGAGGCGCTCATTAATACCTAACTCAGTAGGTTTTCAGAGAATTAATCCAGGTACTCAACAAATGGTAGCTATTAGGATCATGCCGTTGGAAGCTAATTTAGAAAGTCTGCAACAAATCCTCAGCAGGAATTAATTACGCCTTGGCAGGAAGTGGGCAGACATCCAGCTGCACCACCTTCCCGGCATGTGGGACCATTAACATTGTTCAATTTGATCATTATACTTTGAGGAGTTCCAACTGAAAGGAAATGCAATAGAAATTGAGGCTTGTAGTGGTAAATGAGATTATGAAAATGGGCAAAGTGCTGATTTCCCATGAACAGCATGTCATCTTGCTTTGTAAACTGAATAAATAATTCAGAGAACAAAGTCAGCAAAGGCCTAGGGTACGGATGATTATTTGATTACTAGATGAGGACAACGTTGTGGATGAGAACTAGGCACACAGCAAGGGTGCAGGAAGGGATCGGAGAATGTATGCATTTTTGTCCCCGTGACGGGTTTCCCAAGAGAGGCAGCACCTTTCAAATGAAAAGGAGAACCTGGTTCATTACAGCCAACAATATGTTAAAATGCACTACACACATTCTGGGGGGGGGGGTAAAGTTTTTAAAAAATGACATGGTTGTTCCTTGCATTCTAACTGACCAGCTGCTTTACGCAAAGGTGGAATTCATGTTTTAGGTCAGCTTCTCTTGGGCTCCCTGGGGTTTGCAAAAAGACACCTGGACCACTTTGCAAAGCTGCTGCGCCAGGAGCCAGTCCTGACTCTATCACTAGCTGGGTGACCTTAGTTAAGCAACTTAACCTCTCTGAGCCTAAGTTTCCTCATCTTTACAAACAGGGGTAACTTGCTTATCCAGCAAATATTTTCTGAGCACTTCTATGTACCAGGCATGGTTCTATGGTAAATCAGACACCAGGGAAGTCTTTTTGTAGCCCCCAGTGGCGCAGTGGCTAAGAACTTGGCTGCTAACCAAAAGGTGGACAGTTCAAACCCACCAGCCAGCCGCTCCTTGGAAACCCTATGGGGCAGTTCTACTCTGTTCTATAGGGTCACTATGAGTCGGAATGACTCCACAGCTATGGGTGGAAGTCCTTTTATATTCTAAAACTCTTTAGCTCATTCAAAGAGCAGGATAGTTATGGGTGATCAAGAGCATGGGTTTGGAGTCCTATAGATCTGGATCCAAACGTTGGTTCTGCCAATAATCGGCAGATATCACTGGCAAAAACAGTGACAACCTCTGCACTCCTGTTTTCTCAGCGATAAAATGAGATGAGCAAAACTTGCCCATAAGGTTACTGTCAGGATGAACAGGACTGGGTGTGTGTATTTAGTGCAGTGCTTAACGATAGATGCTTAATAAGCGGTGGCATTTTATCAGCAATGGCCACGGATATGGGAAAGGAGGCACATGGAGGTGAGGTGGACTTGTAAAATTTTAGTCCTAAAAACCAAAAAACCCTGACATAAGCACCAGAAGGCATCACACTATGATCAAATTAGATCTCTTGTGCCATAATTCCACTTGAAATTGGTGGCTTTGCACTGTACTAAAGTGCTTTGCCATTGCCAATCCCAGTGCTTTGCATTAAGTAAATGTTTTTAAAAACACGACTGTGAAATATTTTCTGAGCTGGTAATTTCATTGCCGACCCTTTTACAGATAAAATATATAGCTATATGGAGACAAGCCACGAGAAGGTAAGGGACTCGCCCACAGCTAGCTGAGGCTGAAGCCTGATGGCGAAGCCTGGACTGCTAGCTCCTCCCGCTGCACTGGGAAGCCTCTGCAGAAAAAGGCTGCAGGATTAGCCTCAAACACTAGTATCTGTCTTGTTTATCAAGAAGCAGGATAAATATTAATCGACCCCTGTTCATTCCCAGCCAAACCCCAGGAAAACACAAAGAGAACCAGCACTAGGGGCCCTCAGGGTGAGCTCTATCTCAACGCCGTTCTAAAGAAATGTGGATCTCCTAGGACTCCGCATTCAAACCTCTGGATACTCAGGCACACTAAACCCAACTTCTAAAAATACCTTAATATGAACTTAATTAAAGGTACAAGCCCCCCTGCCCCAGCTGACTCTAAAATCTTACCGTTTCCCCTGGCAGTGGCTTCAGCTGACTCTCCGTGGCAGCCATCTTGGCATCCTGCAGTTCATTCTTAAGTGTCTGCACGGTGTTCAGGGCTGAATCGATTTCCATAGGACCGCAGGCTTCATGGGCCTGCAAACAGAGTTGAGAATACTGTATACGGTCTGCTTGGGAAAAGGGTCCCTGACACTTTGCAGCATATGAAATGCCGTTCTGGTTGTACCCAAAGATTCTTCAAATCTAGCAGTAGGAGGTATTTCCCAAGACAGCAAAGTCATCCTCAGTCAGGACCTTAGTCCTAACTTAACTACATAATCAATCCAATCATGTATGTCTCATAACTTGATTTAAAATCTCCTTGAAGTTATTTTTATCTGACATGCGTTTGCCTCTCAGACTAAGAGGATCCTTCATTTGTTGCATCTGGACTCTGGAGATAGGGCACCCACCTAGCACATACAGGCTTGGGAGACAGGTGGTGAGTGGATGAAGGAGCCCAGGACTCGGGACAAGTCCGTATCAATCATATGTACTCGCTTTACAAATTTCTAGATGATAATTATTTTCTCATACTTAAGATTATGAAAATTTTTTTTCTTAGTAATTTGTTCTAAGAAAACTACTTCATTCTCTTGATCATTTAGAGCATAGGTCGCCAAATGCTTTGATTGTACCCCCCAATCCACACGTTACTAAATTATGTACACGTATGACTATTGATCAGTATATTAAATACTGATAAATCTTAATTTCTTTCTTTTTTTATGTAATTGTAACAACAGCAGCAGTAAATATTAACTGAGTGATTTCTATGTGCCAGTATTACTATATGAGGAAACTGAGGCACAGAGAGGGTAAATAACTTGACGAGGTCACAAAATTAGTCAATGGCAGAGCCAGAAATTGAATGCATGCAGTCTGATTCCAGAGCCTTCACTCTTATGCTTATACTAATACATACACACGCACCCACTCACTCCATGTTTTTACACAGATAACATGCACCTCCTGTCTTTGTTTGCCAGCTGTACCCTCCCCCTACAAGGTATTTTCGTAAGCAGGCTATGCTAATTTTTTTATACCAACATGTGGAAGAGGATTGGCATGGAGGCACCCATGAGGGTGCCTTGCTGAGGGCTCGGCCAGCAAACAAATGCAAAATGTGTGTGTTATTTGTGTAAAAATATGGCATATATTTTTAAAAATATACTGTAAAGCTCCCACAGTGTCTTCCTGCACTCCGTGGACAGTCTTGCCCCAAGTTGGCGCCGTTTTAGAGCAATTGTTTAACGTTGGTGTGTGTCTGTGTATCGCTGGTTAAGGTGTAAATGTTCACGCTCCACAATCAGAGATAATGATTTGGTTGCTTGGATGCAAGACTCAGGACTCTGCCTTCTAATAAGCACCCCTAGACAATTCTGGTGCAGATGACCCCACAACCTTTCCTTGAGAAACACACATCAAAAGACTTTTTTATTGGACATAGTCCAAAGCTCTGCATATTTTTCTTTGGCTATGTAGTACATGGCTCATATTAAGAATCCAGATCACCTTCTACCTTCTCCCTCTGCCCATGTTTGAGGCTGCTGGTTTCCATAAACGGACTGTTACAATGAGGGAAAACTGATCCATGCTAGAACGTCATGCTAATATCTCATCAAACAGTGTAGTAATGTGATCTTTCTGGTAATTAATCAGTTCCAACGACAGAAGCTTATTTAATCCCCTGTTCTGTTCTATGGAGGGGACCATGTTAAGGTGAATACGTGCATGTAAGATGTGAAAACCTGTCAGGGCAACACAAAAAGGTAATAGAAGTGACCCCCAAAAGTAGATTTGCTGCCTAAATAACTGCTATTAAGTTCACAAGATGATACCTAGAAGATCTGGTCACTTATTTTGGTCCACAATTTACCTGGTACCAAGAATCGGATGACTAAAAGGCTCCACCCTGAGACTGTGAAAATGGATCATTTCTCAGTACGGGAGCAGGGGGAAGAATGTGACCTAAAGGAGTTTAACGGAAGTCATCTGGAACTAGAAGGTGACAACTAAGTCTAAGAGATAATGGCTAACAGTGGTAAATGCCAGTTTACAAGGGCATCTTCAGTGGTAACTCTGCCAAGAAACATGTCCAGCCAATGTTCAGGCCCTGGGTCCACACCAGCGGTGAGAAATTGAAACCTCCATCCCTGACAAGCTAACCGCTCTGACAAGGCCCCACTTGCCTTCTGTGAGGCGGTCCGTAGCTCCGCCAAGCTGGTAGCGAGGTTCTTAGCACACTGGCTCAGCTGCATGGCTGCAGCCTGGTCACTCACAGTGGGCACCGCGGCTTTGGCAGAGGACACCATCTTGCTTCCAGGCTGTAGAAAGAGGAGCAGAAAGTAAAATGGCTTCTGGGCAGCAAGAGTCAGAAGAGTAGAGACCCAAACAGCAAAGCCGCCATGTCAGCCAGAACTCATTTTGCCCCTCCCTCCAAAAGGAACATTAAAACCATCTACTTTCCTTCAAGAAACTGTCATCCCAAATTAGATACTCTAGGGCAGTACATTCTAGGAATTTCTTTTCTTTTTTAAAAAAGGTATGTACTTGGGCGGGGGGCGGGGGTGGCGCCCTGGTGGCACAGTGGTGAAGATCTCGGCTGCCAACCAAAAGGTCAGCAGTTCAAATCCACCAGCTGCTCCTTGGAAACCCTACAGGGCAGTTCTACTCTGTCCTATAGGGTTGCTATGAGTTGGAATCAACTTAATGGCAACTGGTTTGTTTTGTTCTTTGTTTTTTAATGACTGGGTGGGTGGGGGGTGAGGCAGGCAAAAAGTGACAGTTGCCTGACATTCTCATTTACAACAGATTTCAAAGAGAATGGCTTATTGAATAGGGTTTCTTTGCGTATCTTGGAATAGTCTGTTCATCTTTGTCACAAATATATCCCCATAGACTATTTAGAAAAATACAAACAGACAAAATGAATCAAATAAAATCACCTCACATCCCACAAACCAAAATGACTTCACCGTGTATGGATGTCTGCGTGCGTGTATACATATACATACACATTTCCAAAAACAAGATCATACTATTCTGTTTCACAATCTCCTTGTTTTTCATATCCTACCTTTTAAATAGCTACCCAGTGTTCTATTAGGTACCTCTGCCAACATTTCCCAATTCCCTACTGTTGGGCATGTTTCCATTGTTTTTCCAAGTAAAATAAACAATGGTGCAATAAACACTTTTGTAGCTAAATCTTTGCCACATTCAAAATTTTCTTTGAATAAATATTTAAAAGTGGAATTTGTGGATCAAAGAGTATACACAATTTTAATGCTTTTAATATATGTTATAAAACTGCTCTTTAGTAAAGTCTAACAATTTAGGTACGAGATCATAAATACTAAGGACAAAGCTAATAATTTTCATACCCCAAGAATTCATGAGAATTGATATGAAAAACCAGCATATGAGTGTGTAAAAAGCACGAACAGATAATTAACACAAGAAAAACAACGGAAACATAGAAAAATGTTCAACATTGTGAAAATCAAGGAAATGTCAAAGTGAACAATAAGAATTTTACTGAGCAAATTGGCAGAATATATCTTCTCTTAAATGCTTAATTCTCCACCCTGGAAGAGATATGCTAAAAAGTGCTCTCCATATACTGCTTGTATAAGTTGAGACTCATTCAACCTTCCAGAAGGGCCATTTTATAGCACATAAGAAGAAAAGTTTAAAATGTACGAGACTTTTTGATATGGCAATGCCATTTCTATTTATTTTTAACCCTGATGTTTCTACAATAGCAAAATTAAAAGAACGAAAGAAAAGGAAAAAAACAAAGGCAAGGACAGAGTGGAACCAGAAGCCCGTCCACCCTTATCTATCATCCTACCTTACACCCTTGCCAGCAGCGAGGACAATACAACTGCTGTAGGCTCTCTAACTACCCAAAAGAAGCCCTGAGGGCGCAGGTAACCCAAAGGTAGGCGGTTCAAATCCACCAGCCGCTCCAAGGGAGAAAGATGTAGCAGTCTGCTTCTGTAAAGATTTACAGCCTTGGAAACCCAGTGGGGAAGTTCTACTGTGTCCTATAGGGTGGCTATGAGTTGGAATTGACTGGACGGCAATGGGTTTAGTTTCTTTTTAACCACCCAAATGAAAAGAGAAACACAATTCTCAATGCCCAAAAGATAAAAATGAGCCGCTGGCAATTCTATTTCTAGGAATTCATTCTAAGGAAATAATTCAAAAATGGAACAATGATTTGAGCATACATAAAGATTTTTATCGCACCACAGGTTATGATGACAAAATTAAATGTTATTGTTTTCCAAATAATAAATGTTCGATGAAAAAACACAAAAACATTGTATGTAACGAATTCCAACTTAAAAGACTATACGTACATGTATATATATACACACACACACGTACACATAACTCACATCAAAACTTTCCTGGTTTATCTCTGCATCTTGCAGTTACAGCCCTTAGAAAATTAACCAAATAGATGTATCACTGGCTTCTACAAGTTAACTAGAAAGGGATGAGGAAGGGAGTCTCCTGATCACACGAACTGTTTATGATACAAGTAGACAAAAAGCGCTGATAAAGCTGAGAGATTTGAACACGGTAAGCAGGTAAAAAGGGAGTTTTCTACAACTCAATATTCTCATTTTATTCAATTATCTTAAAAGGAATCCTTCATTCCTACAAAGTCTGACCGTACTTACTAATTGTACAGTTGCCAAAAGGACAAGCACATCTTTGGAGAAGATGCGTTGGCCACTTCTTTTCTTCCAGTTCGTGAATTAGGTATTCTAGAAACCTGCAAACCTAAAGTGATAACTGATACTAAGCTCTTCATCAAAACTTGCAACTTATTACGCATTACTCCCGAGATATGACATGATACTCCCGAGAAAAATGGGTCATGTGCTGCCTCTGGGCAACTTCCCTGCGTAGCAGCATTTCACTTTGCCAAGCTAAATCTACTGCTCCTGAAAATGGAAACAGCAAGAGGAGGCCTTCAAGGTCTGCTTTACAGCACAGACTCTGCTCAGGCTGTGGGATTCGTTACCTCCTCTTCGTAAGTATAATGGGGACCCTCTGCCCAGCTGTGGGCTCTGGGAATAACCAAGGTGAATGCTTCTGTCTTACCTGGAGGAAGTTCTGGCTGGAGATGATGAGGACCAGCTGGGCACTGAGGTCTTCTGCTTGGGCTTGGCTGCCTCTCACCCCCTGGACCAGCTGAGGTATATGATCAGCCACTGCCTAAGGAAGCAAGGAAAATGAAAACTGAGCACTCCTAGCGTGGTGGAGCTACCAAAAGGGGGGAAAATGGCCCCAGGCGATGTGCTTTCTGGATGTGCTATTCTCTTTCGGAAAAACTGGCCATTGAGAAGCCGACAGAGCACAGTTCTACTCTGACACACATGGGGTCGCCATGGACTGGCATCAACTCCACGGCAACTGGTGATTATGCATTCCAGGGCAATGCCTGTGAGGGGACTTGATTTACACAGCATGCTTAGCCAGCTAAGTCCTTATAAACACTGAATCTTATTCTCGGGCACTTCTGTCCCACACGGGCTCCACCCTGTGGTTCTGAAGGTCCCAAGACACTTGGCAGAAGATGATTCTCCACAATGAGGCCTTAAAAGAATTTCCCAGTTGCAACTCATACCACCTTGGTTCATCAGGGTTTCAAACTTAGACTCAAAGGCTCTATAAATTCACAAGTGGTTAAACTGAACCATATGGTCCCATGATCAGGAGAAAGTGAGAGCAATGCTCAACGATCAGCATATCAAGAGCTACTTCTTCCCATTCCTACTTTGCAGGAGTACACAGGGACTGACTACCCAGTAAGCAAGGTAGGCACCGGCTTAATTGTGCTCACTCACTAATCTGTAGTACACAATTTTACCTGGTTTTCACCGCAAACCCATGTGCAATTGTTCACTACAGATTAGTGAGTAAACACAAGCCCATGGATCCGCCCCTGAGCATACATTCTACCTATCCTGCTTTCTCTCCCTTCAGGTAGTACCTCTCCTTTCTCAAACTGGAAAACCCAAAGCCAGGGGAAAGGCGGAAGGCTCAGCATCCCCCAAGGCACGACCGCTTGAAAGTAACCCTTTCCCACGCGCTTAGGAGATGAGCCTTCCACGTTCTCCTCTGTGACCCACACCCCATCTGATTAACCAGGCTTTCAAAACTCAGCACAGTGGCCTCATCGCTGATGCCACGTGCATCCTGGCCTGGTGACATGTTTTCTCTGGGATTCCCCCTCCTAGCATGGGTAAAAAAAAAATCTTTCCATGGGCTTTGTCCCAGGCGTCCCTCCAAACTGCTGGTCCCAGCAATTGGGGGTCCCTTTCCCTCTCTATTGCAAGCTGTAATCCTTCTACTTCCTGGCAAGGACCCTAAGAGGCCTAGTGTCTTCGGTCTCTCTGCAGAAGGCGGGAGGGGGCACCTCATTTTGCAGCATTGTCTGGACTCATATGGCGTGTGCTTCCTGAGAAGCAGGGGCTGAATCGAGGCCTCAGCAGGAAAGCAGCTCTCCCATGGCTGGGGCCAGGTTCTCCGCACAGCCTCCGAGGACAGGGCCCAGGGCCTCTTGCATTGCTCAGGCTTTGCTAGAGCAGACTCAGTCCTCAACAAGGGGGCTGGCCCC